GTTCCTCAGGTTTCTGACATGGACTCACTATCTGGGATTTGCAGTCCAAGGCTCTAGGCCCTCTGCAGACACAGCTGCCAGCTCAGGAGCCCAGAAATTAACTTGAGTGAGATGAAAGTTGCCACAAAGGCCCTGGGGGTTTTAGGAAGAGCTTACTGGGGTTTTTCCAGGTTCTCTGCTGCAGATTTGGAAACCTGGGATGGACTTAAACTTAACTTGAAAGATGACAAGTCAGTATTTTCTTTTTTGTTTTAAATTATGTAATAGATATGTTTAAAACAATGAAGAAAAATTCATTCTCATAGCCAGAAACTGCAGATCTTTGAACTACAGACTTGAAAGGCAGGAAGGGTTTGGTTTTGGCAAAATATGTTTGTTTTATGTGAAAATACATCTGTTATCTAGGTGAAATTTGCAATGCAACAGAAATTTTGTTAGGGTAAGGCAACTACTTCTTTGATATAAGGACTGAAGCATAGGAACCAGACCAGTTTATCTGTAATTCTGTTGCTTTGTAATCTGTGATAACAAATCTTTCATTTTTTAAAATAAAAGTAATTCACATGTTGGGAAGGGAGAGCATCTGTTCTTTTGACTGGCTATATCCACCTCAGCAAATCAACACATTTGGAATCTCCTGCTGCATCCATTAATGTCAGTCAGCAGGGACCAACTATATCCCATCCCTACTAGCCAGAAACCAAAATCTTGTAGTGGCTAGGAGCCCTAAAGCAGAAAGTGTGGATGGGAGAAGAGTGGCTCCAGGGAGAAGATGACAGTGATGCTGCAGGGATCCTACCCAAGGCAGGTTTGGGGGATTTGCTCTCACCAGGTCCTGCTGCCCCCACCATCACAGCAGCACCTGTGTCAGCCCAGCTCCCTCACTGGTCATGCAGTGCCATATGTAGTTATGGAGCTGCAGGCAGACCATGCTTGTGCCAGAGGTGTCTATAATGTTATAGGTCTATTTCGAGATTAAAATACAAAAAGAACCTCAAACATAATATCAAATTAGAAATAGAAAAATTGTCTACTGGGAGAACTAGGATGACTGCACTGTGTGGTACAGCTGTTGGAATTGCACTAAACAGGCCTCTGATTTGAATGGAAAAGCACTTTTTTTCCAGTTTTTACTTCATTTATAGATCCACCCAGAAAGTGTTCCCAAGAAGTTTACAAACATCTCTTTAACAAACTGTTTTCATTCAATACATTTATTCATTTGTTAAGCAAATTCTAGGTACCTGGAAATGAGATCCCTGGAATACCCGGAGGTAGAGCCTAAGCAAAGACACTCTCCCCCAGGCTGGGAACAAGAGGATGTCTTCACCGAGCTCAGCATTCCCCTGGGTATGTTCTGCTGCCCACTGCAATACCCAGAGCTTACAACAAGATGTCACTTTAAGGCTACTTGCTATATTTATTTTTCAGAACAGATGTGAGGGGAGCGAAGTAACAGGGTGGTAGTTGTTGAAAGAAATGGGCTTTTGATTGTAGGTCATTGCCAATTTCATGCCAAACAACTGGCAAAAGGTAGCTGTTAATGTCACTGATGAGATGAAATAAGTTCCCTTGGACCATATATAAAATACATACAAAAATAATCATTTAAAAGTCTTTGTCATTAAAGTATTGGCTAGACTTTCACTGTAAGTGAAAGTATTGGTTTTGCTGTGTAAATACTGATTTGTGAGTAAAACACCTAGAACAAGTGACTCCCAAAAAGCAATCTATCTAACTTAAGCATGAATTTACTGCTAACAAGTATTATTGCTGTTCCAGCCCTTGAGATTATAGAGTGAAGTTTCCAGTCAATATTATGCACAAGAAGGTAAATTTTTAAATGTGTATCTAAGAGAGAAAAGAAAGGTGTATTTGCAATGCACAGATTTCAAACTGAGGCTCAGTATTGCAAAATCAGGGAAATCAGAGAAGTGAATCCAGGATTCAGTCTTCCTATCCCTGTCATTTAACTAAACAGCATCTTTTTCCTTTGAAAATGAGTTTATTGTGGGAGGAGTGGGGTGGTTTCGACTGACATTTTAATGTAATTCAGAATTTCTCAATAGGTGTGGAATTTGTGGTGCCTAGAACTGGGTTCTACTGCAAGCTCTGCGGACTCTTCTACACCAATGAAGAGACAGCAAAGACAAGTCACTGCAGGAGTACTGTTCACTACAAAAATCTTCAGGTAAAAACACACTTGAAGCTAATAATGAGCTCATGGCACGGATTGTGTGTAAAGCAGACGAGGCAATAAAAAAACTAGTTTTTATTCTGTGGACAGAATTCAGATGAAGTGAAACCAGATAAGCAAACTTTTCAGTAGTTCCAAATGTTAGCACGCTAATTTCTCACACCCAGATCCTTGAAATCAACTTCTGGTTCATAAGTAAAATGGGGCCAGGTGATAATTTGGTCTTCTCATCTACATTTTGTCCTTGTCACTAGCACAGCAAGCAACTCAGATCTTTAATTCTCAGTTCTCAGGGGTCCCAGATGTTTCTGTCACTGGGAGTGAGCCCTGCAGCAGCCTTTTTACACCTTCATTTCAGGAGCATTAGACGTGCCACTCGTTTAAAATCGTAGCCAGAATTCTTTGTGCCTCGGTGTGAATCTCTGCAGCGTGTTTGGGCACGCACAGGCTCCGCGAGGCATTTCCTGTGACCCGCTGAAATCACCTCCCTGTGCTCCACAGCAGTTCAGCCACACCGAACACCACTGCTGAATAATTTCTATGAGGATATGCAGAAGCATGTAATTGCTTGTAGAGTTTCCACAAGAATATAACATAAGCCTGTCAGCAGCTGATAACAGCACAGGGAGATCGGGATGCAATCAGAAGATCCTGCCTTTATCACTTCTCAGATGCACTGTTGATACTATCAGTCATGACAGCATGAGCACTAACTGCCCCATGTGAGGACTCCTCAGAGGTGGCCTTGCCTCTCACCTCAACTCCCTGCCTGTGAGCAGGGTGTGTACACTGCAGAAGATGCTTGTGTTGGCATTCTCATACTCTTAGCAAAAGTCACGAAAGAGCAAAGCAGAGCTGCTCCTTCTGTCTCTGTTCCTTCCCTTTGCCCACAGCAAATGCTGTAACTCTGCTTCTCTTCAGTAGCTCTTTCCTTAGCTGGCTAGTAGGCATTGACTTTTCCAGTGACCCTCAGAGTCGAATAATTTCTCTGGGAGAATTTTCTTAACTTTCCCGAAGTTCCATAGCTGTAATCACACAAAGGCCTCTGGCTTACAAAGACTGGGTCTGCAGACCTGCCATGCTTACTCATAATGGATCCTCTAAGTGCAAGCTTGAAAAACAGGTGCTGGCTTTGCATGCCTTTTTTTGCTTCGTACAAGCAAATCTGCAGGAATCCACCAGAGGTGGCACCACTCAGTGCAGCCTGTGTATCCCAGGCAAGTCTGCCCCAAGAGGCTCATGCTAAAGCAAAGACTACAACTCCAGCCCCTGCCCCTGGCAACTGGTTCTATGAAAAGGAGAGGGATTTTTTAACTTTTTTTTCTAAGTTATTTTGTTCAAGTCATAAGAAAAAAAAGTCCAACTAATACTGACTTAGTGTGAAAATAACCTCTTTTTTTCTCCCTGTTAAAACATTTCCCATGACCACTGTGGTCGATATCTAACACTGACTTGAGATAAAAGAACAAAGACTATAAAAGCTGTTAAAATTAAATCTGTCAAATGTGGTAATGAAAACAGACTGTTCTGTTGAACTGTACCTCTTATCTTACTAAATACAGGAAGTAAATGTCTCGTCCAACTTTTGCCTGCTTAAGTGGAAACTGAGCAACTTTCAAATCATTGTTCTGTGTTACTAGAACCCTTTTAGTTGCAATAATGCTCACTAGTGCACTCTGCAAGAAAATCACTCTTCTCCTGTGATGATGCAAGTTCATGAGTGTATCCAGCACTATAGGAACTAGGGACTGAGAGTATGTGAAGCTATGGGAGTGCTGCTGCAGACTTTCTGTTCTCTGGCCTGCATGACAAATACCATCATCCAGTGACAACAACAGTGTCCCAAATGCTGTCACAGCTTTGAGTATTTTATAGCTGATTGGCTACCTGTCATCTTTCATGTGATCTCCCTGAGCCACATCCAAAATATGTGTCCAGTGTTTGGATTTGAATGCAAAACTAAACAGTTTGTTTGCCAGTTTTCTTCCAAAAGCCTTGTTTATATGATGACAATTTTGTCTTGGAGTAAAATAGTCAATTCCATCTGAGCATGATGCCCTTTGGAGAACAGCAATTTCTGATGAAAAAAGATAAATTCTTTGTCAGCCTTGCAGACTTTCTGTAATTTTCAATTACCTTCAGCTTAATAAATTATTTTCCCAGGTAGTATTTATATTTACAGATCCACTGCATTTTCCATGTCCAGAAAGTCCATCATTTGGCCACCCCTCCCACCACAAAAAGCTTTCAGATTCATCTGGTGGAAGCTACCTTGGCAACTCAGTGCAGCATTTTATCCTGCTTTTCATTGACTTTATGCAGTATTTGTCAAAACTTGTATTTAAATGAAAAAATCCCACATTTTTTGCTTGACTGCCACTTTGCTATAAATTCTTCTGAGTCTATGAACTTCAAAACTGGTGTTTGTGGTAATGATTATAGCTGACAATGTTAGCTAAAGGTGGTGGATAACACTCTGTCTCGTTTTGGTCAGTAATCATTAAAAACCAAAACACTTGGGTTATCTGATCAGTGACAAGCATTAGTGACTTGTTACAGTTCATGGTGTACAGAACATGTCTCCCAACCTTTATGGAGCCTGTATCTCTGTATATTGCTGTAACATTTACTCTGGCTTTCTGCCACATGGAATTTTGCACCCAGAGATCAAGACTGAGGGTTGTGTAATTTCCACAGCCAGATCTCAGTCATCCCTTTGTCTTGGGCATGTCCATTCATTACCATTACCAAGTCCCTTTCAGATGTACCTCTGAGATTCAAAACCTGTTTTTGCATGGGAGAACCTGGCAGTCCTAGCACAGCCCTTAGTATTTTTACATCCATTTCTCATTTCACCTCTTCCCTATGGATACCAAAGGGTAAACTGCACTCTGGGGGAATCCTGCAAGTAGATAAAATTTTGCAGTGATATGAGATGGTCTTTTCAAAACAAATGAGAATGTGTAATTAGCTAGAAAAGAGAGTTTTATGATCCTAATAATGTGCAGGTCAGTTATTCTTGCATGTGGTATGTCATTAATTAGAATATCTGTGTTATTATGGTGGAATTTCCCATGTGTCTCTACACTAGCTGCTGATGAAGAAGCTGCTTTCCATCCATTTCTATGTCTGTTGACCTTGAATAAATACCTTGAGCACCATTTTCAGGCCCACATCCATTCATCGTCCATTTTGTGTGCAGCTCTGCCAACTAAGGGCACTGCCAAAAGGCTGAAGCCTCACTGGCCATGTCTGTATTTTTAAATCTCACAGAGTGCTTAGAGCAGTGAAAGGCTTTATCTTAGAGAAACACAAAAAATGTAAATACTCCAGCCAAATTGCTAAACTGTGTTAATTATTACTAAGTATGATTATTCCCTTAAAACAAAATGTTCTTGTGCAAAAGTTATATCTGAACTGGACATGATGAAAATGTCATATATATGCTTTAAATTGTGACTCTGAATCTATTTTCTGACACATCAGTCTTTTACTAGCATAATTCAGTTGGTTCAGGAGAATTAGTTCTTGCCCTATAGCACAAGGGAGGAGAGAATAGGTGAGGTCTAGTTACACAGACTGATGGGGAGTAGAGGTCCTCCGGGTTCTGTCACCTTGTGCCACAGAGTAAATCACTGGAATTCTGATGCTCTAAGTGTATTCAGGCAATTTGCCTGACACAGCTATATTTCCTGGCTTGAATGTTCACCAAAATGAGGTTTCTGTGTTCTTTCTTCCCTTCTGAGATGCTGGGGGAGCGAGAGCTCTGAAAAGGCATAAAGCATCCCATGTGGAATATTTTCAGTTTTGATAACGATGCTTTGGGTTTTTTTTTAATGTGATTGCAGAAGTATCTATCCCAGCTTGCAGAAGAGAGCCTGAAAATGAAGGAAGAAGGCAGCCATCTGCCTCAGGATGACACTGGCATTGTTCCTCACTTTGCGAAGAAAAAGCTATGATGCAGATGAACTGGAATAGCTACAACGAGTGAATGCTGATCCTTTATTTTTTTTTATTTCTATGATATAACTGTCAATTTGCACTGTACAGAGGAGGGGAAATAAAGAGCATGTTCCATGCATCTATGCCCAGAGTGCCATTAAAAACCAAAATGCCTGAAACTGTTTCCCACGGTGAAGCAATGCTGGCATATCTGTAAGAAGTGGAGCAATTCTTTCTCACACTCTGCGTGCTGGGAGTGGTTTCCTAGATTAAATCAGAATTCTCAGGGATTCTTAAAGTTTTAATTCTGATGTAGCACATCAAGTCAGGCAGAGTATTTAGAAGCACTCAGCATCCTCCAGTGGACACTGGAAGGAAAGGAGATGTGACTATAAATAGGCTTTAATGTTGCTTAAAATATCTTCAGCCATTTCACGCGTTGCCCCAGTGAGAAGTAGGATTTGCATAGGAGATCTAAAGCCATTGTGCTAAAACTAGTCAGTAGATGGCATAACGTAAACCCCATCAGCATCCACCTCCATGTGTCTTAGAGCTTGGTGAAATGATAGAATGTTTGTGTTGTTGAGCACTGACTGTACACTGCCGGTGTCGTACCAACACCGAGGGAGCAGTCTGTCCCAGGGACCTCCTAGCCTGAACCCAGCACAGCAAGAGCAATTTGAATGCACATGCTGGCAGCCAGCCCACTCTGGTTTCAGCATTTTCCATGGTGTGGTCAGGATATTCTCCAGGTACCATTGTGTTTGGAACTCTTCTTTTTGATAATTCTAAAGGGTGCCAACTTTGAGTCTTACAGACTTGAAACTCTCATGAGAGGCTTTTTTTTAAGTGCCACATGTTCGGACCATGTCTCTTTTAGACATTTTGTTCAAGATCCTTGCTTTTGGGGTCTTTTTGTTTTCTTAAAAGCTTGCTTTTCCTCAGCTTGGCAATGTTGAATTTTCCTGGTTTTTGTGGAAAGATGCCAGACTTTTAATATTGTTTTTGTATTTTATTTCCCTGAATTTTTTAAGGTGAATACAACAACTGATGGCTCACCGAGTGCTGCACTGAGAACACAGGATGCACCAGCAGCTCTGGCATTATTATGAGCTATTGTTTCTGCACTGTTGTTGCTTAGTATTTTGCAAAGTCCCTTTGAAATGCACTGTACAAGTTTCAGGTTCATTTCAATAGGGCTTTGTGTAGTAAAGTGAACACGCATGCAAACCATTGCCAGAATTCATCCCAGAGTTTATAAAATGTCCCACACGATCCTGACAGATGGGGATTTGCAGGTGCATTTCCATTCTTTGCCTGACTGTAATATTCATCACAGTATGTTCTGTAAAAATTGCGGGTGCTGGATGTCCTCTTTAGATGTTGTGCAGAGGAAAGAATTTCCCAGAAGGTTCTAGCTATCCCTAAGAATGAGGTGGATGTCGCAAAATATTGCAAAGTGGCTAAATTGCCAAAACTGCTTCCACCAAAGCATTTGTTCCATTGTGTCTCGTGCCAGCAGCCGTGCTCATTCTCTGAAGTACCCTGCAGCCAGGCAGTGTGTCTCAGAGGTGCCTGGTGGTGTTGCCTGAAGCCAGTTCCATTTCATGGCCTGTGCTTTATACTTGTTTTTACCAGAGGTAGGTTCAGTTTTCATATTTGGAATTCCTGCTTCTTGCAAGTTGAAGGATTCTTTGCATCCCAGATTCAGACAGGACCTATCCAAAAGACAAGGGGAAATGAAAAACATTACAGCCTAAATCCTCCTTTGTCCAGTATGTTAAGACTTGGGTCCATCTGCCACTTAAAACAGCCTTTTTGTTTGTTTGTTTGTTTGTTTTGTTTTTCCCTAGAAAAAACCCAGCAACAACAGTGTTGCAAACCAGGTATTTTTCCTTCCAGGGTTGGGTTTTTCTTTGACTGTTTGTTTTTCACATTGCAATGAAACTTGAGCACGGGGCTGTTAGGACAAGAGCTTGTATTGCAGGCTGTAAGATGACGAAAATGGCAGTAAAGATTGTGCAATTGTCTTCTAAAGTGCAGCTCTCAAGCTGGTCATGTATCATCTGAATATGAAGCTCCCTTCATGCCCTTCAGCACAAACTGAGCACAAGGGAAGGAAATCACTACAAATGCAAGCATCAGATCTTTGAAGCTAACCCTGCTATCAAACTGGGGCTCTCACCAGCCTAATGGGAGCTTGTTAGACCATGTGGTTAAGCTTAATTGGATGTGAGACATAGCTGACTGTATATCAAAGTCATATGCCTCCAGCAACTTTATCCCCAGGTAACCTCAAATGAGAAAAGTATCACTGTTATTATTCTTTATTTGTATTGTAGTAGAAGCTACAGGTCCACTGCCTTTATTATAGGCAAGGCACAAATCCACAACAAAGACTTTCCCAGGCCAAAAAGCTTTAAATCACACTTTCTGAAAACACACAACAGGTGGATACAGGCAGGGAAAACAGGTAACCATGCGATTTTGACTGGCAGCAGAAGAATAATTAAAATGAGTGTTTACCCAGGGGCTTATTTTTGGATCTACAGGAGATGATTCAAACTCCTTTCCCCCTCCTCTGATTCCGAACCAGGTTTGCTCCCATTATTCACAGCTTGCATTTAACCTACTTTTTCTTTTTCCCTGGATATTTGCATTAGACATGCAAAATCCCTTCTTGATACAGTGGGTCTGGGTATCCTTCAGTCCCCGATGACTTGAGTTTTGGTCTCCATCTGGGGCTCCAAAATCTGGAGTCTGCCCTAGGCTCACCAGGAACTGTCTTGGCTCCAGATACCTTGTTTGGGTCATGGGAACAGGCCCTCACTTGCCACTGAGGAAAGAGGGAGGCTCTAGATGGCATCTCTGCCCTATGTAGTTTCCTCCTCTGGAGATAGATGACTCAGGTGAGTGATGCAGGTGCAGAGCCCAGCCCTGCAGATGTGATTAGACCCAAACATTCACAGTGGTGGTTAGGACAATCTGTCCCTTTGGGATCTGTTCTGACACAACAGCAATCTGCAAAATCCTGGGAACAGCCAAATGGGCAATTCCCCTGCTGAGAAGGTCCTTTCTGCCCCTAAACCTCAACATTTGAAAGCAGTTAAAAAGCAATCCCAAGTCTCAACTAGCTCCTAATGATCCCCATGATCAGTTTTCAGCCCGATGCACTTTGAGAACTCAGAGGTAGTCTCCTTCCTTCTCCAACAGACCATCATGCAATGCTGACAGACACTCAACTCCTCAACTTCTCTCTACTACCTATTCTGCTGAGGAAGAAAGTTGCTGTAGGCAACCCCTTACCTTCCTCAGCTTGTGTAAAAATGTGTTGTTTCTTTTGGTTTCTTATATTTAAAATCTTGACTTTTTTTTAGTTGGCATAATTCATCATCACTATAATCCACGCTCTTTATTTATATATATATATATATATATATAGCACAAAGCAGGCTCAGGTCTAGCCAAAAAAACATTGATATTTAAAAAGGAGCTTCCTTAATATATACAAACCATTTCAACACATCTCAACCAAAGATAGCACTTTTTTAATAAGGACTATGTTTTTCATCTTTGTGAAATTTGTATTGATCTCAAATAGTCTTTAATGTCAAACTGCAACTTACTTTCCTTGAATTAAAATATAAAATAATGAATCATTTGCCCTGTAAGATTAGAAAAAGTTTCATATTGGCTTTGACACTAAATTAGTGTTAGGCTGGTTATATTCAGGGTTTTTTTCTATTCTCTAAGGATTAAGGCTGTGATTTGTTGAACTATACTTGAACTGGACCAGATGTACTATTTATTGAGCTTATATAATCTTGTTAATTTAAGTTTTGGCTTGTAAACAGTTGGAATTTGTTAGTACTTGTTTAATTATGTAGGAACTGTCACTGATATTAACTGATCTGTGTAACTGATTGCAAAGTGTTTCAATTTGTGTTTCTTAAAAAGAAAGATTTTAATAAAGAGAATTATAAAGCTTATGCATTGGTGGGCAATTGTCCCAGCAAGAACATGCTTCTAGCTTCCCAGGGAATCTATTAAATATCAGCCTGAATAAGAGATAATTTTGGGGGTAAGAGGGAAGCAGAGGGACAAAGTTTTGCTTTTAAATACAGTTTCTACAAGTTGTGATTCTTACCAGGAGTCTCCTGCTGTACAGATTGCAAGTGATTGCCATCATCTGGTGCTGAAGCTGAAGTGACACATCTCAGCAATAATGTTAATTGTTATTACCCACTCCTGTCCCTCTAGATATGTCCTCACTTCCCTTTTATTTCGGAATGAACTGGGAAAGCTGTCTGTCCCCACTGGGTTTTGTCTGTCTCCACCCAGGTGGTCTTCTCAGCCTTCTGAAAGCACCATATAAACTCTTCCCCAGCCAGGCACTTTCTCCACCTCATCTCAGCCTAAGTCCTCTGTTTGCCCAATTACTCTGTTTCCCTTGTTCTCTCCCTCTGCCAATATTTCTTCTTATCAGCAGACTGTCTTCCCCAGTGCCACCTCCCAGGGGGGCATTGACCTTTCCCACTCTCTTGGCCTTCTCTCTGGCTCACCGCCAGTGCCAGCAACTGGAGCTGCTGGGAGGAAACACTCACCCTCATTCAGGGTGATGTAAAGACATGCTTGTACTAAATATTCAAGCAATCCAAGGAGGGCAAAAGCTGAGGGGAGTCTTTACCACCAAATTTGATGAATTCATTCAGTGGAAAACACTTCGAGGAGAACTGAGACAAGGCAATGTCCAGTCCATGTGCAGGACAGGGCATGGGGCACTATCAAAGCATGAGCTACACCTCACACCACCCTCTGAGGGGAAATGGGTCTGTCTGCCACACTGAACAGCCAGGGAAATGGGTCATGAGCAAAAATGCTGGCACTCGGTTTTCTGACTCCACGGTTCATTAAATCATTGTCTTTCAAGTAACTGTTTTGCAGGTGAGGCACACATGTAATGTATTTTAAGCACAAATGGTTTCAGTTCTTCTGTCCTGAATGTATTGAAACTTTC